CTCTCTCTCTCTCTCTCTCTCTCTCCCGCGCAAGCAAGCAAGCAGATTTACAGCACGGCATCGCTGGTCACGTTTTGCGCGGGAAAACAACATGGGTGATGTCCGAGACGTAACTGTCGTGCCTGCCGGCAATCAGGGCACAATTGTGCGCATGCATTCTATTCGAGGGAGTAGATTATCCTTCAGCTAGATCGTCTCGCGCGTTAACCTGGAAATACCCATACACACTAAAAATGCAGAGAAATTATAACAAAAAGGGGGGATAACAGAAAGAAGAAAAAACTGTCTTCCCGCTCAACTAGGCGGGGCGGCAGTAGTATCGCCTGGATAAAAAAATTAAAAGAGGTAACTTCAGTAGAGTCACGAAAACAAGTTATAATTGCACTACAGGCCAAGATGCAGTTTGCAATTGCACCTTGGGCACCCTACCTGGCCAGAAAGCTGGGTTGTATACATTGCCCAATCTGCAATTCGAAACTGTATCTTGCCCCATACTGCAATTATAACTCGTTTTTGTCACTCCCGCGTAGTTTCCCCATATTAAAAAAAAAACTCCTGGACAAACATAACACCTGATCTGGAGAAAATCGATTAACAAAAAGAAACCCTTCTAGACACACACACACGCACACGCACACTCAACACGCACATGCACACTCACCGGCCCCCCTTTTCTTTTGCCTCCGTCAAACTCGGATCGATACACAGAAAATTAGCACGTGCCCCGCAAAAATCGTCCTTCTCCTCTTCGTGCTCTTCTTCATAATATTCCCCCCCGTTCACCTTCCTCCCCCCCTCATGTAATTTTCATCAAGTTAATTGCAGATTTGTCGTATCTAGAGTCTTTCTGCTGTGCTCTTTGTTTTCCTCGCTTTTTTCAGTTTCTTTTTGTTCAAACCCTCTGCACCAAAGATATGATTTTGTCGCACTTTGATAACTATAGTTGACCTTACGGCCGCCTTCAAAACCACATTCGTAAGCTGACAAAGGCCGCAGAACGCGCGAAGTGTTCAGCCTCTCTGCCTCTCTCTCTCTCTCTCTCTCTCTCTCTCTCTCTCTCTCTCTCTCTCTCTCTCACACACACACACACACACACACACGCACACGCACACACGCACACACACACAAGCACACACAAGCACACACAAGCACCCCTTTTCCCTCCGTCAAACTCTGATCGATACAGAGATAATTAGCATTTGCCCTGCGCGGATAACACGAATGAATCGTACTGTTCCTCTTCGTGCTCCTCCAGGCTTTTGTTCTCTCTCTCTCTCACACACACAGCTTTTCCCCATCCGTCCAACTTGGATCGCTACAGAGAAGATTAGCATGTCCCCTTAGGGGATGACACGCATGAATCATGCTCTTTCCCTTCATCCTCCTCCCCCTACCGCTCTTTCATGTGCGTGCGCACGCACGCGCGCTCGTTCAATCGACGTGCCATAGATTGTTCTACTTCGACAAATTCCTGGACGTGCCATAGATTGTTCTCCTCTGGCAAATTCCTCCTCTCTCTCTCTCTCTCTCTCTCTCTCTCTCTCTCTCTCTCTCTCTCTCTCTCTCTCTCTCTCTCTCTCTCTCTCTCTCTCTCTC